AGTATGAAGAAAGGTGAAGCCATAGGAGTATAAACAAGGGCTAAAGGGGATAGAGGTAAATAGTGATAGATACACAAACTTGGAACAACAATACTCTGTAGGTGGGCACATGGACAGACATGCTGAATGATTATGGGAAGAATAGAATGTGTATGTATGAGGGTGTGCATGTATATGTTGTTGTTGTTCAGTACCATGGAGTCGGTTCTGACTAATAGTGACCCTGCACAGGGTTTCTGCGGCTGTAAATCTTTACGGGAGCAGAACGCCTTATCTTTCTGACCTTGAGGTTGGCAGCCCGACTCGTAACCACTATGCTACCAGAGCACCTATGCATGTATATAGATGTGTATATATATGTATGTATACATTTATATATTCCACAGATATACAAGATTGTGAAAGAGGAAATTGGTACGTGAGTATTTACCTCTCCTGCAAACACCACTGTGAATTTGGTGATGCATACAGTGGACAAAATGATGAGAACTAGATATCAAACATCTTAAGGTGATGAGTAGCTGAGCCTGGGAGCTCAGGACAGTAGTCTCAGGGGACACCATGGTCATCTGGAACAACATAGTCCACAAAGACAATGTTCTATATTCTACTTTGGAGAGTAGTAGCTGGGATATTAAAAGCTCATGTGCGGCCATCTAAGATGCATTTATTGGTAGTCCCTTGTGCAGAAGAAAGAAGAGTGATGAAAATTGAAAATGCCTGGAATCAACTTGGCCAGTGGTCTAATGGAACATGTATCAGTCTTCATGACCCTGAGACCATAAGAACTAGATGGTGCCTTACTACCACTACCAACTCCTCCAAATGGGATCACATTAGAAGGTCCTGGATAGAGTGGGACATGTGTGGAACAAAACTCACAATTATAAACAAAGAAAGAAAGGAGAGAGAGAGAAAAGAGACCAGGCTTCCTAGTCAGAAAGAGACTGGAGGAACCTGAGACTGGCCCTAGACCACCCTTGAGATCTGGAAAGGAACACACCCTCTTTCAGCTAAGCAGTAGATAGGTAGTTGTTGTTGTTGTTGTTGTTAAGTGCCTTCGAGTCGGTTCCGACCCATAGCGACCCTGTACAGGGTTTCCGAGGGTGTAAATCTTTACAGGAGTAGAAAGCCTCATCTTTCTCCCGCGGAGCAGCTGGTAGTTTCGAACTGCTGACCTTATGGTTCACAGCCCGATTCGTAACCACTACGCTACCAGATAGGTAGATAGGAACAATAACAGCACTAGTAGATAGGCTCACTATGAATGACGGAATGGTCATTCAAAATCAAAGGGTCAACATGTATTTACAACATTAGTGAGAAGGACTGGGAAAGTGAGTGGAAGGGAAATTGGAGTCCCAGGGAGGAAGTGGTTAACTTGTTCCTGGGAGGGGATTGTAATCTTTGAGATGAAACAAAGTGTATTATTTGTTGACTGTGAAACTGATCTTGTCTGCAAACCTTCAGTCAAATAAAAAAGCCAGACCAGCAGGTGGCGCTATGGTACCTGGTGAGGTTACCAGGGTTTATACATTCCCTCATACTGACATTGTCATGATTAATTAGAAACCCAAATTGGACTAATAAAGTTTCCCTAAGAAAGTCAATAACTCAGTGATCTTATGGCATCTGCAGGACTGAGGAGTTTTTGTGCGTACTTGAAAAGAGAGATGTGCCCTTTTGTCCTGCTGTTTGTTCACATTAAAGGATCTATGGAGTTAGGGGCTCTCTGATGCTTCAGATCTGGGATATCATCAGACTCAAGCCCCTCGGAACTCCAGATGAAAGAGAGTCATGGCTGGGTAAGAGCATGACTTTGGGACTGACTTGACCTTTTTTTGAATGGCAGCAGTGTGTCTTATTATATGACCTTGGTAGGCTGTTCCCTAAAACCCTCTGTTTACTTTCCTGTAGAATGTATTTATTAGGTTTTTGCAAGGATGAAGTAATGCATAAAAGGTACTTAGCCCATTGCAAACATTTTCAGTGCATAGCTGCTGCTTTTTTTTTATTACTGTCTTGGATGGTGAACTATTAGGACTAGCAACCTTGGATTTCCAGATTGTGGTAGGAGTTGAGGAAATAGAGACCCAAGGAGGCTGGGAGACCTGCAGTTCAAGAGGCAAAGGACATGTGTCCAGGCCAGTTAGCCATATGCATGTGAGCAGGAGTTCCCAAGTTCCACTGGTACTGATGTCTGTTAAGTGAGACAATTATTATTTATTTCTAAAATTAACCAGTTGGATTTGGTGCAGACTTATCCAAGGTTGCATTCTGTCAATTAGCCACAATTGTCTGAGCCCAGTGAGCCCTCACTTCGTGTCAGGATCTGCACCTCTGGTATCACCTGTGAGCAGATAGATCCAAATTTATGGTGATCGTGAACATCTGTGCTTTCTTGTTTCTTCAGGGTCCTGCATATAATTGGATGTTTGTTCTTCGTTCCTTCCTTAGATCAGCTGATCCCACTCGACCTGATGTACTCTAAGCTTTCTCAACTGGGTGACCAGTTTGAACATAACATTTCTGAAAATAGTAACTTCAGAGGAATGCTTGACATCCAAGTCTCAGCCTGTTTCTACAAGAATCCAACTGCTATAGTCCTGAGGAACCAGGACCCTTGGCCACAGAAGAGAATCTAGAGACAGGGTAGTCTGAACAGAATCTCGACCCAGTAGAGGAAGACCCCTACTCATATGATGTTCCTCCTTGTACTGGTCTACTTTTAAAGCTAAAGTCTAACCGAATCTTTGTATGGAATGGTCTGAATGACAACAAGCCCTGTAGAATCTGGGTACTGAAAACTAGGATCCCTAGACATAGTCGGAAGGAGCTCTGGTAGTATAGTAGTTACAAGTCGGGCTGCTAACCTCAAGGTCAGCAGTTTGAAACTACCAGCCATTCCATGGAAGATGAGGCAGGCGTTCTGCTCCTGTGAAGATTTACAGCCTCGAAAACCCTATGCAGGGTTGCTATGAGTTGGAACAGACTCCATGGCACAGAACCACCACCCCAAACAGTCGGGGAGTACTGGTGTGCCAATGAAAGATAAACACTGGATTGCAAGGTCAGTTTGAACCCAAGGTCAGCTGTTGACATTCACCAGCTGCTCCTTGGAAGCTCTAGACTAAGTCACTATGAGTTGGAACCAACCCAATGACACTTAACAGCACCACATAGTAGGAGTCATAGAAGGAAAGAGAAAAAGGGACAGAAAAACAGTTCAAGAAATAGTGACTGAAAACTTCGCATGTTTGATGAAAGAAAAAAAAATGTACACATCCAAAAAGCTCAAAAAACTCCTTGTAGGATAAACTCAGAGATCCATACTTGACACATATAAACAAGCTGTTAAAAACAAAATAATGAAAGCAAGAGAAACTCGCATATACAGGGAACCTCAAGAAAATCAGTAGCTGAGTTCTCATCATAAACAAAAGAGGCAAAAAAGCAGTGGGACAAAAAAGTGCTGAAAGAAAGAAAAAAATCAAAGAATTCTATATCCACCAAACTATCTTCAAAAATTAAGGTGATAGGTTAGGTAGGGATGGGCAACTTAGACATTGGCTACCTAAAATGAGGGAGCGATAAAGGCACGAAGGGACTGGCTTACAAATTTTCCAGAGGGAGTTTAGTTTAAGAGTGTGTGGGGGAAGATAGAGTCCCCACTGAATAGTTTTCATCTTGTCTAGATGGGTCTGGTGAAAAGAGATGGGGATAGGATTCTTATAATTCAATAGTGAGTAATTGTCATGACTGTGAGTATCACAACTATAAATTATAGGTAGAAGTTTTGTAACAAAAATGGGGGAGTAGTTTAACAGTCCAGAAACAGAGGACCCTAGGACCATCAAGGGAGAAGAGCACAAGCGGAATGCGGATTCTTATCCAGAGAAGTAGGGACACCAGAGATGGAGGCAGAGATGAGGACATGGAGAAAGGGAGCAGCTGAGGACTCTAGATTCATGGGAAGGGAGAGACTGAGAGCTGGTGGCCAGGAGGGAGACTTGCAGAATGTGCCCTTTGGTTGTTTAAATTATTATATATTCCTCAGTGTTTTTGTGCACGTCCTACCCCCACCCAAAAAAAACCACACAAAAACACAACAGGGAATAGAAGCAAATACTGTTGAATGATGCATGGAGGAGATTGTAATCATTGTAGTGAAACAATGGTGTACGGCCCATGATTTCTCATGTCAACTATCACTCAATTCACAAAAACTTAAAAAATAGTAATAAGGTGAGAGAGAACTTCAGTCTGTTCGGAATGTCCATGTGTGAACAGCCTGGTCGACGGGAAAGGCGCGGTTGTTTGCCTTTCCTGCCGGGCTAAACCTCTGATGTGGACGCAGCCCCCACTCTGTTGGGGATGCTGGCATCCTGGCCACCCGCGGCTGCTCTGTGGCCCCGGGGAACCAGAGCCCAGCTGTAGGGGAAGGAAAGCCGCCACCCAAATGCTGCCTGGTACCATGCAGTCCCCAGACCCGAGGGCATGGAGTGGTTAGGGGAGAAAGTCAGTTGCCTGCTGAAGAAGTTAAGACAAGTTTGGCCACAAAAAGGGTGAATCTAGCTGCTCCGGGTCTGATGGAACCTCTGGGCCGAGCGTGGGTTGGAGGGACCTAGGAAATCTGGGCCCTGAGGAGCTACAGGGGGACCTGCGGCTGAGCCTTTGGAGCCCACTAGAGAGCAAGGCTCGCGGATGCGGATGCTGAGGGTGGAACCTGCGCAGGTCTATTGAGGTGCAGCGCTACGATTGTACCTTTCCCAGGCAGCTGCCCCTGATGCCGGCCTTGCTTCTGTCTCAGTCATTGCGCCCCAACTTTTGGCTACAGACCACCGTCTTGACCCTGAGTCCCCGCCCCAGCTTCGCCAGTAGCTGGGCCAGCGATGAGAGCAAGCGTGCCAGGAGCAGCCTGCTGCTGGACGCGGCGGGGACTGGCGACGCAGGAGGCGGCCGGGCCTGCAGCACTCGTACCAGCCACATCAGCATGGGCTATGACCAGCGACAAGGAGGCGCTCTGCCCTTTGGGCCGTGCCTGTTTGACCCGCCCCTGTCTCGGCTCCAGCTCCCGAAGGGTCCATTCCATCAACCCGGAGCTCCATGCTGCCCTGGACCGCAGGGTTCGGCTGCCAGGAAAGCCGCCACCCTTATCCTCTGACACTGGGCAGCCCCCCGGAGCTCTAGCTGGGGATGGAGTGGGAGCGCAAGGCCCCTTGGAGAAAGGCGCGGCGAAACCTGGACACTTGGTGACAGACTACGGAGGCTGCGCAGTGGACGCTCGATATCAGGACGCGCTAACAGCGTTGCTGCACCTGGCGATGGGCACGGGTGACCAAGAAGCTGGTGTCCGGAGGGAACCCTCAGGGATTGAGCCAATAGGGTCACAAGTCGCTGCCGGGTCCGTTGGCTCCAGAGGCCGGATGCGCGGGAACAGGAGGGCAAGAGGACTGCTTCACATCGGTGTCAAGTACAACAAAGGCATCTGTGGGCAGAGCAACGCCTGCCAGGCCCCGGATAGCCTCTATCACACCCAGTGCTCTGTCTGTGGGCGAACTTTGTGCTGTAAGGTTTTCTACAGTGTTAAAGGCTCTGTGGACTGTGAGGAAGAGGATCTGTTTTCAGGGTGTTTCTGGAAATTTCTGTTGTCCCTTGATTCTGGAGAAAATCCTACAGGCAGTGGAGAAGTCCTATCACCCAAGTTCCACCTTTTGCAACAAGTGCCTGGCTGGCATCCCCTTCACAGTGGACTTCTCCACCCAGGTGTACTTGTCACTGACTACCACCAAAATCATGCCCGCAAGTGTGCAGCCTTCTGCCAATCCATCCTCCCCTCAGAGGGCTGTGAGGACATGTCAGGGTGATATATCTGGGCACCAGGATTACCACTTTGTGAGCTACCACTGTGACGATTGCCGATGCAGCTGAGGGATGGACACTGGCTCTGTGACATGCAATGGCTCAATGCCCCCTACCAGCTCTCTCTGAACCGCCACCATCACCACCATTGGCAAACTCCTGGTCACGAGCCTCTCAGGAGACTGGAGGTAAGGAATGCACCCTGCTGCTCTGAGCCAGGAATCCTCAGGGAGGGCCCTAGGTTATGACATTCCAAATGGATTGTGGAGATGAAACCTTCCCATTGCCGGTGGGGATGACTGGCCTCTCCTGTGCTGAAGCTTGCACTCAGGCACGTTCCAGTACTTTCTGAAGGTCTGCTTCTAATCTGCATCTCCAGTATATGTTTGTGTGTAAGTTAAGCAGTGTTCTGGTTCAGAATTACAGGAACAAAGAGAAGATATCAAGGGTGCCCCTCACTGTAGTAGTGCTATAGATGGGCCCATCCCGGTTCCAACCACAGTATCTTCTCTCCATCCAGAAACTCTCCAGACCTGTTCAATGAGTTCTTTCTGGGCTTTGCTCTCTGCTGGGAATGGGGACCAGTTCTGGGAGGACCTGCTGCTTTTTACTGCCAGTTTCTCAGGGACTCACATGGGCCTGGGGGAGGGGAGGTGGATGCCTGTACTTGCTTTCTCTTCTTAGTGGGGGGAGGTAGTGAGTTGGCCTCTGTCAAAGTGCAGCTCACTGAGTAGGACATCTAGGGAGCTACAGGCCAGCCACACTTCCTGAACTCCTGAGCCCTCCAGCCCAGTATGCACATTTGTTCCATTTCCTGTCTTGCCTTATAGCTGTGGTTAAAACTTCCAACACAATATTGAATGGAGTGATGATAAAGGACATCCTTGTCTAGTTCCTATTAGCAAGGGAATGCTTTCAGGGTCTCTCCATTGAGAGTAATTCTGGCTGTTGGATCTGTATATGTTCTCTTAATTGTGTTGAGGAATTTTCCTTCAATTTCTACTTTGTTGAGTGTTTTTATCAAGAATGGGTGTTGGATTTTTGTCAAATGACTTTATTGCATCAATCAGTATAATCTTATGGTTCCCCCCCCTTTTTTTAAAGATATATTGTAGAATTATGTTGATTGTTTTTCTAATATTGAACCATCCTAAGAACAAAGTTGAGAAGCAATGGGAAGGAGGATGGAATGGAGACAGGAAGCACAGGGAGGAAGTGGGACAGCTGTTGTTGCTTGGAGGAAACTGCAATCATTGAGATGAAACAAAGTCTATGACTTCTGAGTGTCTTTAAACCATTACTCAATTCACAACAAAAAACTAAAAGCGCACTAGTAAAGTTAATCACACAGGTAAACAGAAAACAGCATAAATACGGTTTTTTTTTTTCACAATTGATTTAAAAATACAGCTGCACAAAATAACACAAAACTATTATTGGGCATATAACATACAAGGATGTAATTTGCATGAAAATAGGACAGAGAAAGGCAGAAGAAAGGAGCTGTATTGAAATAAAATTTCTACACACTATTAAAATGAAATTAATATCAGTGTCAAATTAGTATTACTATTAAGCGAAATTAGGTTGATTTCAAATTAGTATTACTATTAAGCGAAATTAGGTTGATTTCAGTTAAGATGCATAATGTAATCCCCAGAGGAACCACTAAGAATATAACTAAAACAATATAGTTAGGAAACCCACAAAGTAATTTAAATGATATACTGAAAAATCTTTAATAAAAGAAAGCAATAAAGATAGAAGATATAGAAAACAAAGAACAGATTGGGAGATATAAATCCAGACTTATCAATAATCACATTTAAATTTCAATGAATTAAGCATTCCAATCAAAAGGTGGAGATTGCCAGACTAGGTTTTTAAAAAATCGGGATTTAACTGTATTCTGTCTATAAGATACACAAATAGATTGAAAGGAAAATACAAAAAGATATACCATGCAAATGGTAACCATAAGAGAGTAGGGGTCATTATAATAATAATAAAAGGATTAGTCTATCAGAAAGCTAAAATTATGAGGGGGCTTCGAAAAGTTTGTGGAAAAATTCCATTATCTTTTTTTTTTTAAAGTCTTTAATTGTAAATTGAGTGAGTGAAGGTTGAAAAATTCTATTATGTTTTATTTTAATTCCCTTTTCCACTAACTTTGTTTTTTTCACTCTCTTTGATGCCCCATCATGTGAACTTTATATGCACCTAATAGTATTGTTGTTGTTGTTGTTAGGTGTGATCAAGTCAGTTCTGACTCATAGTGACCCCATGCATAACAAAATAAAACTCTGTCTAGTCTTGCAGCCTCCTCACAATGGTTCTACCAGAATCCACTGTTGCTGCCACTGCATCAATCCATCTTGTGAGTCTTCCTCTTTTTTGAAGTCCCTCTGCTTTACCAAGCATGATGTCCTTGTCCTGGTCCCTCCTGACAACATGTTCAAAGTAAGAGAGACAAAGTCTTGTCATCTCGCTTCTAAGCAGCATTCTGAAGACTCTACGTCATAAAGGAAATTAGAAATATTTTGAGCTGGATAAAAGCAAAAACATTTGAAAATTTATGGGATGCAGCTAAAGGAGTGGCTAGCGGGAAATTTAAAGCTTTTAACAGCAGTTTTCCTCTTCTCCTTTCCAAACCAGCTCAGTGCCAGAACTGAGTGTCTGACAGAACACTTGGTTGTTCTGGGCTCCACCTTTTCATCTTAAAAAAGCTTCCGAAATGTCTGGCCCCATATTCTTTATATGGTTAACACTGTTCTTCTGGTCATAAGGCATAAACTCCTCATGAATTGGTACCATACCTTATCCTAGATGTAAATTTTCTTTCCCTACCCAAATCATACTTCTCTCCTCCAAGCGGCCTTCCATATCTCCCACTGCAACTGCCCAGCCAGGCAGCAGCCAAGAGGAGCAAGAGAGGCAGACAAGGTGCAGCCAGAGTCTTCTTCCAAGAGTCCCACAAAGCTGGCTGAGGCAGAGGCAGGATCTGTAGAGTATGGAGGGTAAATAGTGCCTCCATTATTTCAAAAACCTTCAGCAGAGAAGCAGCTGTGTTCTAAAGGAACCAACCTTGGGCACTGCTGGTCTCCTTGGTCTCCTACCTAAAACTCAGGGCTGCCAACTCAGGATATGCTGACTCTTTTTCTTATAGCTTAACCACTGACTTTTTGAGACTATGTTTTAGGATTTTGTTTCCATCACAGTCATACCATTTTAAGTCAAGTAATACTGCAAGGTTTGTCACTATACATAACAGTTTCCCGACCCACCCCACAATTCTAAGTCCACCTTGAACTCTTACAGCTATTTTGTCTAGTAATTAACTACTTATTTAATTCTTACTTTTACTGCTACTCTTAAGGGGCTCTGGTGACCCTGTACAGGGTTTCCTGAGGCTGTAAATCTCTGCAGGAGCAGAACGCCTCATCTTTCTTCTGCAGAACAGCTGGTGGTTTCAAACTGCTGACCTTGAGGTTGGCAGCCTGACTCATAACCACTATGCTACCAGAGCTCCTTGGTAGCATATCATAGTGGTTACAAATTAGGCTGCTAATCTCATAAACTTCACCCTAAATACTTGCAATATCATCTGGATTTGATACCAGTGTAATGCTGAACTCATAAAATGAGCTGGCAAGTATTTACTATTGTCTGACAATTTTATTAGGATCTACTTTACCATGAAATTCAACCACTGTATGTGTGAAATTCATTGATTTTTATTCCATTTTTACAAGTGTCCAGCCACCACTGCAGTCCAGGTGTAGAACAGTTTTATCTCCCTGTGATGTTTTCTCATGCTTGTTCAACCAATCCCCACGTCCATCCCTAGCCCCATACAAACACTGATCTGCTTTCTGCATTTAGAAATATCTCCTCAATTGATTCATGAAATGTAATTCACTTAGTGAAAGGTGTCTGAAATGCATCCATGCTAGAGTTTGAATAAATAGTTTGTTTTATTGTTGAATGGTACTCCTGATGTGGTGCTTCAGGATAAGCATTGGACTGCTAACACAAAGTTGGTGGTTCAAACCCATCAGCTGCTCCTTGGAAACCTACACAGGGTGGCTATGGAACTGACTCAGTGGAACTTAATAACAACAACAAAATTCTATTATATGGGTGTGCCCATATATCACCATTATCAATTCACCATTTGATGGACATTTGGATTGTTCCCATTTTAAACTGTTATGAATGATATTGCTATGCTCATGAATATTAAGTGTTTGTATGGCTATTTATGTCCATTTCTCTTGGACAGATACCTAGAGGTGAAATTGCTGGATCTGGCGCTGTGAGTCGGAACCAACTCACTGGATAGCACTTAACAACAACAACAAACGATAAGCATGGGAGCACGGTGGCTCCATCCGATAAGCACTGGACTGTGAACCACAAGGCCAGCCAGCCGCTTCACTAAAGGAAGATGAGGCTTTCTGCTCCCTGGAAGACTTAAAGCTTCAGAAACACTATACAGGGTTGCTATGAGTTGGAACCGACTTGACCACACTTAACAACAATGTTAAGTATGGAGTCCTGGTGTGATGCTGTAGGATAAGCACTAGACTACTAACTGTAAGGTCAGAAGTTCAAAACCACCAGCCACTCCTTGGAACTCCTATATAGGGTCACTATGAGTCAGAACCAATGTGACAGCTCTTAGCAACAACTGGTAAGCATGTATTTAACTTTTTAAGAAACTGCTGAGCAAATGTGGAGGTATTGTGTGCGGACTCATGGCAACCTTGTATAGTGTTTCTGAGGCTGTAAATCTTCATGGGAGCAGAAAGCCTCATCTTACTCGATGGAGTGACTGGTAGATTCGAACTACTGACCTTGCAGTTAGCAGCCCACCCCACTTCCAAGACTCCTTGAACAAATGTAGAAAAAGGTAAGTAGTTAAATCTGGATGGTACACATAAACTCTGTCATTACTTCACCTGGGAGAAGTTGCCTTGCAAGGAAGAGATGCCCGTTCTCCAAATCCACTCCAACACCCAGCATGCCCCAGTATACAGCCTGGACCCAGGAGGAGATACAACATAAATCAAGCTGCAAGGCCCATGAGGAAGTCCAGCATCCCATGATGAAGGGGGCTGGTGTTCCTACTCCACACCATTGGACGCCAGACCCAAGGGTCACACAGAGTGTTTCGGTTAGAACTTAGGCCTTTAATCGTCTGTGCCACCTCTTCTGGCTGCTGAAACTGGACACGCCCTGCCACCCTCTCGTGGTGGACCAGCAAAAGCTGCTTCATATCCAGTGCCCATCTGAGGCCTGTGGATACTCAGAGAGAAACACACACAGAAACCTATGCATCAGCGTTCACTGCAGCGCTTCTCACAATAGTCAAAAGGAGGAAGCAACCAAAAATGCCTTGTCTCCCTGGGACCATCAAGGGAGGGGAGCAGAGAGCGGGACCCTACCCAGAGAAGCAGTGATACCTGAGATGGAGCAGTTGGGGACTTTAGACAGAGAGGGAGAGGGGCTGTGTGCTGACGACTGGGGAGCAGGCTTATAGTATGTACCATTTGGTTGGTTTATGATGCATGGAGGGGATTGTAACCATGGTAATGAAACGATATACAATAGGATGAATGTAAAACTAATGTTCTCCCATGTAGACTGTCACATAATTCACAATAAAACATTAAAAAAAAAAATGACTTGTCAACAAATGAATGGCTAAACAAATGTGGTCTATCCATACAATGGAATACTACTCAGCCGTAAAGAGAAATTAAGTACTGATGCACACCTACAACATGCTGAGCAAAACAAGTCAGTCTCAAATGGCCAAATACTGTATGGTGTCACTTCTATGAAATAAGCAAATAAATGAAACCAAAGACTATGAGTGATTACAGGGGTGGGAGGGAGGAGGGACATGGGAGTTTTTGCTAAGAGGAGAGTGAGTTGATGATAATAGTGGTAGAATCATTTGGAAAAGGATAGCAAGAATGGTTGTACAACTTGAAGAATGGAATCTGTGCCTCTGAGTTATGCATGTAGAAACTGTTGAGCTGCAATATGTTGTGTTGTGTGTTTATTTTCACCACAATTTCAAAAATAAATTTTTCAAGTTGCCCTACCCCAAACTTCTGCCTAGTTCCTGGCATGCGCCGTGGGAAAATGAGTCACGTTTGTCACCAGTACCCATGATGAAACTCCATGTCCTGAGTGCCCCCTTCAGCCCATCTCAGCAGATTTCCCAGGGACCTGACAATGGACTCTGAGAGGGTGCTAGCTCAGGGATCAAAGGTCATGCAAATGCCTGCTGACTGTCCTTTGGGATGGTGGAATGACCTTTGATCTGCCCTGAGAGGACTGTGGGCATTTGGTGATGACCTGTAGCCCCTCCTCCTGTTTTCTAAGAAGTGTGGAACGTTTGTAGGTGTGGGTACAATCAGCCCCCCAGAGCGCAGCAGCATGGGAGTTTTTTGTTCTTCTGAAACATTGCCTGTTGGTCTGGGGCGGACTTGTCCCTAGCAGGACTTGAAACAGCAGCACGTGTTCTCCCCCTCCTGTCTCAGTCAGGTGGGTGAGGGTGGGGGCCCAGGACTGGGGTCCAGTCTCTACTCTGTGCCTGCAAAGACTGTCCTAAGATAGCTTTTGTCCTCCTCTCACAGGTGCAGCCCCAGCTGCCCCCCAGAGGCACCTGTGTGGTGTGCTATTACCACCTGCCTATGTTTAATTCATAGCTGGGGGGATGGGAAGAGCTTCCCAAGAAAGGAAAACTCCCCTGAGGTCTTGCCCAGTTCCTGCTGCCCATGGGGCACACTGCCGAGGCCCCAGGCCTGAGGCTGGCTACTGGAGGCTGCTGAGGGGTTTAGAGGACACCCTACTGGCTAGGGCATAGTCACCACTCACTAATCCACTGGCCTGGAATGTCTGCTGGCCAATCAGCGGGGTCTCTGGGGGCTCTCAGAGGGTGCTAATAATTCTGCAATGATTGGCAAGGGCTGCCGGGTTAGTGTGCACCATTCTGTCTGGCGGGGGTAGGGCAGGCAGACCAGAGGCTGAAGGAGGAGAGCAAACCCAGGAGCTGTCTGGATCCTCACATGCCAGTCCCAACGGGAGGCTGTTTGGACACACCAATTACTCTCCAGCCTCCCCCCTTTGTTCGCCAGCCCAGCTCAGCCTGACTCGTGGAGGTTGTACACTACACGGCTGGCCCGGGAAGCTGCGGAACGCTGAACCTGTCTGTCCTAGAGCACCCAGCATGCCCATGCTTCAGCCGCCACCCTTCCCTGTGCTGGGGGGCTGGCCCCACCAGCTGGGCCTCCTGCCCATGCTCCTGGCTCTCCTTGGCATCACCTGGGCAGAGACGTGGCCGTTTCAGCTGCAGGAGAAGCCAGCCCTGCTGCCCGGAGGTTAGGAGAGGTGGAGGGGTTGGGAGTTCTAGGGACGGGGTTCAGGCACCCTTGGAAGCCAGTTCCCAGGCCTGAGCCCTGGGCTGTACTGGGTGCTGTCATGGTGAGCCCTTCTGAGGAATCCATACGTGAAGGAGAGGAGGAAGAACAGAAGGAGTGGGAGTCAAAGAAGTGAGGGAAACCAGGCTGGAGCCCCAAAAGACACTTGGAGGGCAAGAGGAGGCCAGCCAGAGAGCTGCTTCAATACCTCCAGTGGGGAGCAGCACCCCTCACAGCTGACTTTCCATCACTCCCAGCTTCTTTCTCCATCTCTCCAACTCCCCACCTTCCTGGGCACACTGGTCCGGCTCTCCAGTAGCCCTAGCTTGCGAGTCTGGAACCCTATGGGCAGGGTTGCCCCACGGAGACTCCCAGGCTTGTCCACAGCTGATGAGGGTCTCTCCCCTCTCCTACCGCAGCCCTGAGCCGGAAAGAAGGCTTCCTTCTCCTCTCCCTTCACAACCGCCTGCGAAGCCGGGTCCACCCTCCAGCAGCCAACATGCAGAGAATGGTGAGTGAGGGGCCAAGGAGGCTGTGGATAAAGGCAGACAGACAGTCACATCGCCTTGCCCACTGGGGGGACTGTGGTCCCCATTGCTGGGGAACTCTGAGACTTCCCCTCCCCAGGGTAACCCTTGGGACAGGCAGCTGGGCCCTTCGTGCACATTTGCCTGAAGAGCAGAACCTCAAGTCCCGTTGCCATGGAGACCAGGAGACATGAAGGAGCCAGGGTCCCCTCCTCCAGAAAAGAGTTTCACAAAGGGTCCCAGCAGGATGGGAGGGTAGGAGGCAGGGAGGGAGAAGCATCCTGCTTGGGGAGGGGGATCTCCCAAGTTTCTGCTCCTTTGGTGAATCACATCTCACAGTGGGAGCTGGGAGGGGAAGTAGGGTTCCCACCACCCTGATTTGGGGCTGTGGGGCTGAAGGTGTCATCCTGGGGCTTGGAAATGCTGCTCCCATAGCCCAGGACTCCAGCAGCTCAGTCACTGTTGAGAGGCGGGGAGCAGAGGGCTGCCAGGTTCCCCATGGTTGCCTCCCATAACCTCCTCTGAGGGCCTGCAGTGGCAGGCGACCCTGAGAGCTCTGGGGTCAGTTTCCCAGGATGTGGGGGTGGGGAGTACAGGAAGCCTTGTGTGACTTCTTCCACTTTGCTTCCCCCCCCACCCCCCCGCAACAGTCTGTCCCTCCTCTGTCCAACCCCCCTGTCCACCCACCCAGCTGTAAACACCTGGGGTGTGTGTGTATGTGTATGTGGAGTGGGACAGAGGGAATCCACTGGTTAGTGTTTTGTGCCCCTTTTGTTGGGGTCTTAGAAAATGGCATTTCAAAACAAGATACACATGCATGATTACCCCTCAACCTCCCTCTTACCTGTGACTCAGGCTCTGAGCATCCCTGCAGACTGCTAAGGGCTCCAGGGATTCCCTTCCTTACACACAGGCATGACTGAGTCTTTAGGGTGGTATGGGACTACTGAGGGACCCAGAGGAACCCCTCATCAGAGATCAAATCACAACAGTGCCCAGGCCCCAGCTGAGTACCTCCCCTACATCCCACTTAATCCTCACATAACTGTGTTCTATGGTCACCTTGTTGTGCCCATTTTACAGATGAAGACACTGAGTCTCATGGAGATTAGTGACTGCTGTATGTCACACAACTCGAATGAGGTGGCTGGGCTTGATGAGAGGGTGGCAAGGGAGTGATTCTTATCTTCCTGAGGGTCAAACCCCTTGATTTCAGAGAAAGTGGGTTTGTGTGTGGTAGGGGGCAGTCACTGGTGTGTGAATAGGGGAGCTCTCTCTGGCCCCTGCACCCTCTGAGGCCTAGGTTGGGGTTCAAGAAAATGGACACCAAGCATGGCTGCAGGGGCTCTTTCCATGGCAAGAGAGATGCCTGGCTGGACAGAAGCAGCCAACACTTTCTGACAATGGCCCAGATCCATTTTACTTAAAGGCAACCCAGAGCCAATCTGAATGGCTTGGGCAAGGCCCAGGGCTCACATTGCCAGTCGGGGAAAACGACAGCAAAAGCCCAAAACACACCTGAACTCTCGCTATTCCTACAGGGCCCCCTGTCCTCCTCAGGGTCCTCACAATCGGGGTCAGAAAGATGGAGGGTCTCAGGTGTCTGGCACACCTTGGGAGAACACTTGCAGGCCATGTCCAAGCCTCATTGGCCCCTGGGAAGTTAGGGGAACCAGCTCAGTGAGGTTAGGCAGCCTGTCAGACATTGCTTCTGGTCCAGCGCACCACCCTACTCTGCCTCCAAGATGGCTGGGGTTGAATAACAAGGCCTGGCCCACCAGTGTTCTTCCCTTCATCCAGGATCCCCTGCTGGTGTCTTTGTTTGTGCCATCCCCAGGACTGGAGCGAGAACCTGGCTCGACTGGCTCAGGACAGGGCAGCCCTCTGCGGGGCCCTGGCACCGAGCCTGGCGTTGGCTCCACAGCACACCCGGCAAGTGGGCTGGAATGTGCAGCTGCTGCCCGTGGGCTCAGCGTCCTTTGTTGAAGTGGTCAGCCTGTGGTTTGCGGAGGGGCAGCAGTATAATCATGCAGCAGCTGAGTGTACCTACAATGCCACCTGTACCCACTACACTCAGGTGAGTCGGGCTCAGGTGGGGGGAAGGCTGGGATCCTCAAAAAGAAGCAATACTTTGTCTAGAAGATACTTGAACGAGAAGTAGCCAAATCATGAAGGACATATACCTACAACTTTACTAGACATTGTCAAAGTGATTGCAAACAGTCTTTGCCTCCTGGTATTGTCAGTGTGAGATACAACCTCACTCCGTTTTTACTTTGTCTTCTCCTGATTGGAAGGAGAAAGATTTATGCAATCTGAAGAGAAAATCAGAATAGACCTTTTTCTGATTAAAAGCACTCAACAATCTCCCATGATCTAGACCCTTAGTCTAGCACTAGATCTGGCAACTTAGTGTGTCTACAGACCCCTGCTCTGTTGTTGTTGTTGTTAAGTGCCCTCGAGTCCGTCCCAACTCATAGTGACCCTGTATAGGGTTTCCAAGGAGCTGCTGGTGAGCTTGAACTGTCGACCTTGCAGTTCAAACTGACTTTGCAGTCCAGCGCTTTAACCCACAGCACCACCCCAGGATTCGGATCCCTGCTTGAGGCGAACATGCTTGGCGAGGACGTCTGCTGTAATGGTGGTTAGATATTTGGAATATCACTTCTGTTTATTCGGGTGTGATGTGAAATAACGTGGTATGTTGTTTGTCTGTTGCATTTTAAATTCATTGCTCAAATCAGTTTGCTAAGCCTTATTTGGTAGTGACATTGACCTCCAAATTATCTCCTGTTTCATGCCATTCTTACCTGGGTTATAGCATTACTGGTCTCAGAAAGTGGGTTGAGAACTTTGCCTCATTCTCTATTCCCAGACTGATTTCTGTAAGATTGTCCATAAGTCTCCTCTAAAATTATTTTGGCTTTATTCTATTGTTCCATTGTGCTGTTAGTTTTGTATGAGTATGTGCAAGTATGAGTAGATTTTTAACTACTGATTCAACTTTTAAAATGGGTTATAGATCATTTTAGGTTTTCTATTTCTTCTTGAGACAGTTTTGCCAAGCTCAAGTCCTGGTATGGCACTATAGGAGAAGCGTTGGACTGCTAACCACAAGGTCAGAGGTACAAATCTACTGGTTGCTCCTTGGAAACCCCACAGGGTTGCTGTGAGTTGGAACTGACTCGATGGCACTTAACAACATGAATTTTCTAATAAATGATTCCTTTTTGGTGAATGTTTTCCAATTTACTGTCTATCGTTGTTTATTATTTAACTGGTATTTAAAACTAGAATTAAAATGGTGATGGTGGTGTGTTGTGGAGCTGGTTCTAGAATTAAACAGATTTTTAAAAAATAGCTATTATCATTTTGCTAGCTGTATCTCATTTTTAATTCCAGATATTATTTGTTCTTTCTTTTATTCTCAGTCTTCCTAGAGGTTTGTCTATTAGTTCTTTTGAAAATCACCATTTTATTTATTTTTATCTTTTTTTTTCTCTTTCTCATTAATATCTGCCATTGTCTTTTATTATTTACATTCTTTTACTTTATTTGGTGTGCTCTATTATTATTATTAAGGAGCTCTGGTAGCGTAGTGGTTACGAATTGGGCTGCGAACCTCAGGGTCAGCAGTTAGAAACTACCAGCTGCTCCGTGGGAGAAAGATGAGGCTTTCTGCTCCCATAAAGACTTACAGCCTTGGAAACCCTGTGCAGGGTCGCTATGAGTCGGAACCAACTTCACAGCACATCACAACAACAACAACAACAGTATTATTGTTATTTACCTTTTATGGGAGTCCTGTTGTGGTGCTGTAGGATAAGCACTGAACTGCCAACCTTGAACCACCAAGACTCCAGAACCATAGGAGGAATTAATGCTTGTAAAAGTTCCATGCATTCCTAAAACAAAAGTATATTCTGTAATTGTTGGGTGTGTGTATCTGACCATATGTTCCTATTTCCCTGCACAAGCTAGGCTTGTATTTGTCATTTTGTGTGACTGCTGGCGTGGTGCTGCAGGTTAATGCACTGGACTGCAAGGTCCGTGATTAAAGCTCACCAGCTGCTCCTCGGAAACTCTCTATGGGGTCGCTAATGAGTTAGAACTGAGTCCACGGCATCTAATAACAACAGCTAGTCTCAGTGTGGTACTGTAGGATAAGCACTGGACTGCTAACCACAGTTTAAAACCCACCAGCCACACCTTGGAAATCTCACACAGAGCCAATTCGATGGCACTTAAAAGTTTGCTGAACTGTTCCTTTGCATTAACTATGTGCTGTTTCCAAGTGGCCGCTGAATGTAAGACTTTAAATCTGTTTTCAATACCTGTATCTATTAGCTTTCTTTTTTTTATCCTAATTAGCTTTCGCTGCATGACAAACTATCCCCAAACTTGTAATCCTAGTGTGGTGCTGTAGGATAAGCACTGAACTGTAAACAGTTCAAACCCACAAGCCACTCCTTGGAAACTCTATAGAGCATCGCACTGAGTTGGAACTGACTTTTGCTGCATGACAAACTACCCCAAACCTAAGTGGCTTCAAACAAGTATTTTAAGCTTCTGATTCTGGGGCCAGATATGGGCTGAGCTCAGCTGGGAGGTTCTTCTACTGATTGGGCTCATCCATGCAACCGCAATCAGCTGGAAGCTGGCTGGGACAGGCTTTCTAGAAAGGCCTGAGCTGGCTCCTCTCTCTGCCTCATTTGGTCATCCAGCCTCCAGTAGGCTAGTCTGAACTTGTGGTCTGTTTCTGTCTGTGATGGCTGTTCTAAATGAATGTGTAGAAATCCAAGGCCTCTTAGGAACTGGCTAAGCATCACTTCTGCTCATCCTATTGCTAGTCACAAAGCCAGTCCAGAATCAAAGGAGGGGAGTGAGGATGAGCTTTTTCTCTTGATAGGAAGAAGTGCAAAATCATACTGTGAAAGGGCTACAGGGAAAACAGGGCACGAATATGACCATGCTTGCAATCTGTCACCAGGCCACTCCCTGATGTCTAGGACTTTCTTTTGCCATGCATCCTCTTTTCAGCTGTGTGCTGCACTCTTCATTTCTCCTTCCCACCATGAAACCCTTCCCAGTCTATTCCCACTTATGCTGGACCCTGGCCAGCTTAGCTGCTGCTCCTGAGGCTTACAGCAAGCTGCTTGCTGCTGTGAAGTGCCGTTGAGTTGATTCCGACCCATAGCGACCCTGTATAGGATTTCCAAGGAGCAGCTGGTGAGCTTGAACCACTGACCTTGCAGTTCAAACGACTTTGCAGTATGACTCATTAGCCCACAGTGCCACACCAGGACTCCACAGCAAGCTGCTTGGTTCATAGCAAAAGCTGTGTCGTCCTGCCCCAGGTAAACATTGCCTATGCTGTTGGCCCTGACTGGGAGTGGGAGGTTTTGAACCACTGTGTCCCTTTTCAGCTCGTGTGGGCCACCTCGAGCCAGCTGGGCTGTGGGCGGCATCGCTGCTCTGTGGGCCAGGCAGAGATGGAAGCCTTTGTGTGTGCCTACTCCCCGGGGTAAGTCCTTACTACTATAGGGCCCACTCCTCAATACAGGGCCAACTGAAGTGGGGCATGGAGTGGGAAGGGATACTTTTATCCAGGGGGAGACACTACCTGCCAAACCCACCCACAAGGCCTTGACTATATGTGAAGTGGGAAGAAAGGGTCAAGGGAGAGATTCAGAAGAAGGCAGCACCAAAATTCTGACCAACGCAGAATGTGGCTTCTCCTTTGAAGTCCGTCCCTGGCAGTCCACCACTTTCAGGGAATGTGCCCATGGTTAATTTGAGGTCATCTCTTCTTCTTAGGAAATCTCCCCCTATCTCATGCTGGCTCCTGGCATTCGCTGCCCTGTCCAAAGCCAGGCCCTGATGCTTGTGGTCTCTCACAGAGGCAACTGGAAGGTGAATGGGAGGACAATCGTCCCCTATAAGAAGGGCGCCTGGTGTTCACTCTGTACAGCCACCGTCTCCGGCTGCTTCAAAGCCTGGGACCATACAGGGGGTCTCTGTGGTAAGTGCCCCACACTGCCTGCCTGCCTCCCAGGTCAGCAGGCACACGAAGGCTTGGTCTGACTATACTGGGCTGGGAGTGGGTGGACAGTATTCTGAGGGGCTGTCCTGAAAGCTCTGGGGAGGCACCTGCCTCGCTTCCTGACAGATCCCCTTCTCAGAGTCCCCTCCTTGTCTGCCCAGAGGTCCCCAGGAACCCATGCCGCATGAGCTGCCGGAACCATGGGCATCTCAACATCAGCACCTGCCACTGCCACTGCCCCCCAGGCTACACAGGCCGGTACTGCCAAGGTGAGGGGCACCTGGAGTTCCAGAGCAGGACCAACTGCCCGGGAGACCCACAGGGAGAAGCTGAGGCAGGCGTGTGCACATGTGTACACACGTGTGTGCTCATGCTGTGTCCTGGATGGGCTGGCCTTACAGTGGCTGAGTGTGTTCTCTGAAGGGGTCCCTGATCTGGCCTATAGGCTCTGGGGTGGTGGGAGAGGTTAGCAGTAGGTTTTTGTCCCACTGTCCCTTCTTCTTGGCTGTGACCCTGGGTCTATGAACCATGCCTCATTTGGCTTCTTTCCATACTGGGGAACAAACCCAAGATGCCAAGTTAGCAGCCAGGTGGCAGCCCTGGTGGGCTCCATCATGCTTGGTTGGCGTGTCTCTGCGTGTCGGAGTCCATGAGGGCCCGTGACTCGGGGCTGAGCGCTGGCCCATCTCACACGCAGTGAGGTGCAGCGTGCGCTGTGTGCATGGCCGGTTCCGGGACGAGGAGTGCTCCTGTGTCTGTGACATTGGCTTCGGGGGTGCTCAGTGTACCAGTGAGTCCTGCCCACGACTCCCCAGCAGTGTGGGGGAGCCCGCTGCATGTGTCTCTCCCAACTTCACCTCAGTCATGTCACATTAGTTGCTTGAAATTAGCCACGGTTGGGGTATTTACACCACAGTAATGGGCAAATGCTACAAATTTCTATTTGTTTTTAAAGAGAGCTGCTTGTTACACATCTGTCAGTACCCACCGACACCTGCCCACTGTCCCCAGAGAAAGGGGAACTTTGAGCTCAGTTTCCTGGCTGGACAGGAGAGGTCCACACACAAAATTCTGGTCTCTCCCCCTGCTCCTCCTCCACGCCCCCCCAGCCAAGGTGCACTTTCCCTTCCATACCTGTGACCTGAGGATTGATGGAGACTGCTTCATGGTGTCCTCGGAGGCAGACACCTACTACGGAGCCAAGATTAAATGTCAGGTAACAGGTGACCCCTGCCATCCCAGGGACCCCCCCAGGATCTCAAGTAGAGGGACCTAGGCTAAGAAATGGCTCTTTGATTTCTCCTGGCCTCTTCGCTTCATTGGCATGGAGGAGCAATCAAACGCAGAGGCCCATGGGAGCTCAAGAACCATAATAAAGTGGCAGGACCACAGGGAGGCCGCCCCGCCCTAAGGGGAGCCACCCTGATTCAGCTCCTACTACAGGGAATGAGGACAGGGAAGGTGGAACTGGCCAATGTTCAAGAGTACCAGAAATCCAGGTTTTCATGTGGTCCTCTTATTAATGCTGACAACTCACTAAAACATGTTTAAGACACGGTACAGATGAAATACAATCCTGCCTGGGCCCAGGAGAGAGGACAGGTGGGCAGGGAAGAGGCTGGATGACCCCTACACTAGGAAGTAGGGGGCTGGCCAGGCTGGACAGCTGCCAGTGCACACACGCAGCCTCCCCTGTGACTCTAAGACTGTACCATGTGGTGGAGGGCTGCCTGGACACTGAGCCCTGCTCACCTGACTTGGCCGATGGGGTTACAGGGAAAGGGCGGGGTATTAGCCCAGATCGAGAGTCAGAAAGTGCAGGACATCCTGGCCTTCTACCTGGGTCGCTTGGAGACCACCAACGAGGTGACTGACAGGGATCTTGAGACCAGGAACTTCTGGATTGGTGAGTGCTGGATTGGTGAGTGCTTGGCTGGTTGAGGGATACTGTGAGCGCTGTTCTAGGAACCCTGGGATGTGGAAACCCAGGGCACCCACCAGCCAATGGTAAGGGTTGGAGCAGAGTTTGGAACCCAGGAATGTGGGGAGAGGGCTGGGGCCTGGAAAGGCATGAAGAGGCAGCGTTTAGGGCTCAGGCACTTCTCTTGGGAAGCTGGGCTCAGAGTGAGGCCCAGGGATCTCAGGCAGTGAAACCATTCTGGGCTGCCCCTGCTCAGGGTTGACCTATAAGACTGCTAAGGACTCCTTCCGTTGGAGCACCGGGGAGTACCAGTCCTTCACCAGTTTTGCCTTTGGACAACCTGACAACCAGGGGTGAGTTTGTGATACCCCCCCCCCCCCACACACACACACACACTAAGGTCCACCTTCTTGCCTGGGCCTACTTGGCTAAGCTTTCACAATGTATTGAAAAACTACCACATAGCCTGCCGCCTTGGTGAGCTCCACAGAGTCTGGGCCTTACCTGTCCCTGGCTGCCCACAAAGTGCAGGCACAGGTGTGCAGTGCATAGGCTCAATGCGGGGTGAGGGAAAGCAGGAACCTGGCCTCCAGGTGCTAACATAAGAGGGAACCCAAGAAGGCCTCAACTGTCCCTGTCCCTACATCCTCTCAGCATCTACCCACCTACTGTCTACCCACACCACTACCTCACCACTGGCTCCAGCTGGCATCACTACGCCTGCAGCCCTGCATTCATTCATGCACCCAGCCTGCCCAGCAGGCAGCCTGTACTGTGGCCCTGCCCTCACTTCTCAGCCCAGGAATGCCCAGAGCAGGTATGGCAGGGCTGGAGGTGGTCAGGCTTGTGGGATCACTAAGGGTTTAAAATCTCTCCAACCCTCCTTCCTGACATCCAGGCCTGTGCCCAGCTCAAGGTGCAGTTGTTACCTGCAGTGAAAATGTTACCCCAGGCTAGGGGGTTGCCAGAATCCTCCCTTGCTTCCCAGAGAAAAGCTGGAGAGGACTTGGGAGCAGGGATGGGGAAAGCAGGTGTGGCTCACAGCAAATGCAGGTGACCTGCGTTTAAGCCTCTCCCATGCACCTCGTTTCACGTCTCTACCCTGAGCACCCCACATATTGGTCCAGCAGGTTTGGCAACTGTGTGGAGCTACAGGCATCAGCTGCCTTCAACTGGAATGACCAACGCTGTAAAACCAGAAACCGTTACATCTGCCAGTTTGGTGAGGGCTTTCCCAGCACTGCCCACCTTCAGTCCCTACCCTTCCCCACACCATGCTTGCTGGGACATCCATTGGCATGTGAGCAATGGGCTGCCCTGGACATCCTGCTCAGAGAAGCATTGTGAGGCCCAGAGAGGAAAGATGGACCCAGCGTCACATAGCAAGCCCACCCAGAGGCAGGACCTGGAATTTCTCTGAGGTCCCTTTCCTCTTATTCCTAAAGCTGCTACTTGGGGAGCTGCATGGTCCTTTGGTGTTCCCTGACTAGCCCAATGAACTATGGCTGGGGCCTGGCCCAGTCCAGGCTTGGAATGGCCTGGTGTTCCTAGACTTGGGTGCAGCAGAGTCCCCATCCAGACAGCCTGGGTGACTCCAACTCTCAGTTCTGCTTCCTTTCCAGCTCAAGAGCACATTTCCCGTTGGAACCGTGGGTCCTGAGCCCTGGCATCTACCTGGCATCTCCCGTCAGCCTCTGGGTACACCAGCCTTGCTTACTTACCTGTCTGCCCCCCTGCCTGGGACAGGAGCCAGGCAAGGACCCCATACACAACATTCAAGAAAGTCTCAGACAATGCAGGGGGGCAGGAAGTCAATAGGGGGGTCTGTGCTGAAGGACCCTGGCCTTGGGGAACAAAGCCTCTTTTTGAATGGGAAGATGGGGCTCAGTTGGGTCCGAATGCAGAACCAGCGGTTGGGTCCCAGGACCAGCGGTCGCAAGAGACCTCTGAGCAGACCCTCCCGGGTAACTGGGGCTTCCTCTCCACTTAGAATGTACCCCAGAAAGGATTAAACTAAGTTATGATTCGGCCAGGCTGGTGAGTGCTCCTTCTGAAGCGTAAGGCAGAGGATCCAGGACGATTCTAAGAAACCCAACGGTGTCCTAGGCTTCACTGCCCCAGGCCTCCTACCCACTGAACACCCTGCACTGCTCACCCACATGACCCAGCCCACCCTCCGGAAGTGAGGTGGGAAGCCATGCCTCTGTCTCAGTGAGGGGTCATTTTCTCAGCATCTCCTGAAAAGTCATAGTAAAGACCACTTTGAACTCCTGGACACTGGAGTGTGTCCATGGTGAAGCGATTTTTCATGGCCACGCTGAGGTTGGAATCCGGATCTGGAGTTTCCCACCCCTTGTCCAACTGCTCACACCCTCAGGTGTCAGGCACTGTAACAGTTCTCGACATCCGTAACTTCAACCTACACGTCCTCATAGTGGTTACCTCCATTTTAGGGCAGAAGAAACAGGGACAGAGAGAGGCTGAGTAACTTGCCCAAGATCACACAGCTGGACAAGAACCCAATCAATCTGACAGTAATTTAATCTTTCCATTTTCTTTGAAAGGTTCAGCCTGTACAATGGGGGTGGGGGAGGAGAGACTCGGGCGTTCACACAGTCCTCCCAATGATCTCGACCACCTGGCACAGGGAAGGAGGCTCTAGCCCACCAATGACTGGGATTTGCCCAAGGTCGCCGCCAAGGACCAGACAACACCTCCTGAGTCAGCTGGGTGGTGGAGGGCCCTGGTCTCCTGCCTTGTCCTGCCTGCTAGATTCTGTAGCCCGGCCCCAAGATTTTTCTGGTACACGTGAGGGGCCAATCAGCAGGAGCAGCGTCTGGATGCGCCCGAAGCCCTCGTCTCGCTTCGAAGCTGATGGTTCAGATCGCTTATAAGGAGCAACACCTGGGTGCGCAGGTTCTGTAGGAGCCAGGCTCGCGCATGCGCAGCTGCAGGGCCCTAGACTCTGCCCAACGCCCCGCCCCCAGTCTGAGGAGCTCCACCCCGAGACTATAGGCCCCGCCCCAAGTCCCGCCCCTCGCCGCTAGAAAGCCCCCTCCCCACCTTCCGTGTGAGCCCGCCCCTGTGGTCAAGTCCCCAGCTCCCAGGGGACGTGACACTTGCCCCCTCCCGCCATGCCGATGTCGCTGGGTCCGAAGCCCTTCCGCGGGCAGCCTTCCCTGGTGCCCCGTCGGCGCTCGGTGGCCCGGGCCCCGCGCCTCATGGCTGCGCCCGCCGCGCCCCCCCGGGTCCGCCAGGGGGGTTGCATGTTCCGAGGTCCCGCTGGGGTCCTGGGTGGCCCCCGTCCGTGCTGGCCCCCAATGGGTCCCCCGCAAGCGCCTGTGACGCTGCTCGGCAGCCCGGAGGCGTGTCGGAGACGTGAGTGCGCCCCGCGCGCTGCTCGGGTGGGGGCTGGGGGAGGCATGGGGGGCCGTGGGTAGCACAATGAGGGGAGCGGGGCAGCCGAAGTCACCCCGTCCCGTACCCATGGGCCACTGGACAAGAGGGCGTGGAGGGTGCATGGGCAGCTGTCCTGGGCTGGCTCACCTCCGGGCCTGGCAGGTGTGGACTGACACCAAGGCGTTGGAGCCGGGCTTCCGGGGCCCCCTTCACCGCTTCCTCTGAGGTTCACGGAGGAACCACCACACCCAGAGGAACGGAGGGGTTCCCTCTCCTTCACCTCTGTGGCCCACAGAGCCCTGGAGCCTGGGTTGCCTGAAGGAGGAAAGAGACAGTGGGGGAGCGCAGAGCATTGGGACAGGTGACGCGGGAACGTTGTACCTCTCCGGAGCTCGTGGACATCCCTCTTTTTCACAACTCTTCACCAAACTGTGCCTCCCTGAGACTCGGCGGGGGTCCGGGGCAGCCAGAACCCCACCCCTGTTTCCTCCCTTTAGTTTTTCATTCATCTGACAGGCACTCCTGGATGCCCCAAATCCACCAAAAAAATCCAGTCTATGAAATCAAACACCCACGAGTCAGATAGGGATCCCTCTGGAGATACAGAAAGATTCACCTCCTGGTAGGCCTCTGTTGGGAGTTTTGGGAAACCTGATTTCCATTATTGTTGTATTTGTAGAGTTTGATCTGGGGCACTTATTTTTACCTTGATGTGGTAAACTTTTCCAATAGCCCTGGTAGCACAGTGGTTTAATTGTTGGGCTGCTAACCCAAAGATGGCTGATTTGAAACCACCAGTTGCTCCTTGGGAGAAAGATGAGAATGTTTACCTAAAGATTTACAGCCTTGAACACCTTGAGGGATCAGCATGTCTACTACAGGGTAACTTAGGAGTCATCGTGGACTCGAAGGCAGTGGGGTAAACTTTTCTAAGCCATGGTGGCTATTTCCCCCAAAGTCACTAACAGCCCATGATATTTCCCACATGTATTAGGGAAAGAGATGAGGAGCACAGGACTTTAGATGTGGTTCTTGGAATGTTCCCCCACTCCTCTTTATGTAGTTTCCCCAGGGCAAAGTGAAGCAAGGCCTGTGTGCTCAAACTCTAAGTAGAAACCAAATCATGTGTATGCAGGTGAGGAAGAGAGGAATGTAGAACAAGTGACTTGGGCTTCCAAGGAGAAGGAAAATATTCTGTTTCTACAGAACTGGGCAGACAACTCCTTGGGATATTTCCTGGCTCAAGATAGTGTTTTAAAATGTGGTCCTAAAAGGCAGTTGTTTTTTTTATCTCAAATATGGTGGCCTGTAGGTTGTAAAAACTGTTGGTTGCAAACCTTTACTCATAAAAATCTGAGCGTGAGCCACCAATGTGTTTATATGTATTAATTTATGAACTGGAGTTTTTGGAACTGACTGGTAATCAAAAAGCTGTTGGTGTAAGTCCACTCAGAGACCTTTTAGAAGAAGGGCCTGGTAATTGATTTCTGAAACTCAGCCATTTAAAAAAGTTATGAGGTACAGTTCTAAACTAAGACACATAGGGTTGTATGGATCAGAATCCATTTCATGGCAACTCGTTTTATCTGAGTTATATACATGAGCTACAATTCTTAATACATACAGTATATCATGAAAGAAGTAAATAAAAACTATAAAAATGTAAAATTAAAGATGACTGTAAATACCCAAAATTTTCATTATGCACCTTAGTAATACACTCAGAGTATGGCCACCACTCTCTAGAGACTGACAGTCTGTGTAGTGAAGTCAAGCTGTCACCTTAGGTACCTAAGGCATAAGGCATTTCTTAGGCATTGCCATTCTCTGGTTTGACCAAGGGTTAAGAGCTGCTCCTAGACACAGTTATGTTTACTTGGTCTGAACTACATGGAGACATTTGTGTAACAGAGGAGAGGCATTGTGTTCACCAATACTGTGGTCACCATTTTGGGCTTCTGGCTTACCCTGCTACTAGGTGCAGCTCTGGTGGACATCTGCAAAGACCAGTTCTGTCCTGCACACGTTGAAATTTCAGAACCTCTCTGCTAGTTCCTTTGGTGGTGTTGGATGTCATCAAGTCAATTCGGACTCCTATACACCCCGTGTACAACAGAACAAAACACTGCCCAGTCCTGCACCATTCTCCCAGTTGTTCCTATTTTTTTCAGGTACTATGTCAGTTCATCTTGTTGACATTCTGCCTCGTATTTTGCTGACCTTCTTCTGCTTTACCGGTGCACCAGTAATTCTTCAGGTTTTCTTACTCATTCTTCAGCTTTCACATTCATACGAGGCAATTGAAAATTTCATGGCTTGAATCAAGTGTACCATGGTTTTCAAGGCAACACCTTTGCTTTTTGGTACCTTAAAGAGATCTTTGCAGCAGATTCGCCCAAGACAATATGTCATTTGATGTCTTGATTGCTGTATTCATGGGCATTGATTGTGGAGCCAAGTAAAATGAAGTCTTTGACAACTTCAGTGTTTTTCCCTGGTATTGGAGCATCCCAGCAGCAGAGCAACACACAAGTCACCATAGTCCCTGAATTATCCATGTATGTAGAAACTTCAGGAGCCTTCCTAATCTTCTGTTCTAGCTGCTTCTGCCACTGTGTCTTCTGTCAGCTTCATGTTTCTGTCCACAGCCCCTCCTTTATTCATGCATGCCTGTTCCCACATGCTTCTTCTTTGCTGTGTATGTTGGGGCTGGGGTTTGATGGCCCAGTCTTCTCCCCTATCATACAGTGGTGAAAGCATGAATCCAGGCAGGTCGTCGGTGGGAGAGTAGGTAAGAGACTATGAGGTGGTGTCACTAATGTCCAGAATAGCCCCCAGTTATATGCAACTCTGCACCCATGGTGACTTGCTTTTCTGGTTGCATATGGAAGTGTGGCCCCTGACCATGGAAGGTCAATAGTCACAGTTCTTCATTTTCACCAATAGAAACATAGAAGCAGCTCTGGCTAATCCTGAAGCACAGGAATTTATCAAAAGGACAGTGGTCCATCACAGGCTCCTGGAGAGATAGAACCAGGCTTGGAACCTGTGCAGCCAGAAGCGGAACCTCAAATTCTTCTGCAAAGCCAGTCTTGATTGATGCCCGTGTTCTTGTTGCAGGCCAGGGACTGCAACTCAGGAACCACCTTCATCCTGGCAACTAACTGGCAGTTGAGTGCCAGCTCCACGGACTCCCAGATATCAGTTCATTCTATCAAGTCTGTCATGAATTTCTACCTTTCCCAATCTGGCACCCTCAGA